GCAGCGTGTGCGCGTTGCCGGGCAACGGCGCGGGGCTGGGCGGGGCGGGACGAGCCGGCGTCTGCAGCCTGCGCCTGGCTGAGCCGCTGCAGGGCCCGGGCCTTGGGGAGCTCAGCCTCGCCGGCCCCCGCATGGTGGCGGATGCAGCCGGGGCCTCAAGCTGCCAACTCGGGCTGTGGTGGTAAATGCGAGCAAGGGGGTTGCCAAGGCTGCGGAGCGAGTTGCAGCAGCTTGGGGGAAAGGACAGAAGGGAGACGGGGGGAGCAAGGAGGACATGGATGTGCGGTGTCAGGGAAGACCCCTGGCTGCGGGGCTCCTCCTCTCCTGCCGCCGGGATCCCCGTGGATCCTCCTGTTCTGCAGCAGCCCTTCTCGGGACAGGCAGAGAGGGGTCTGCCAGCCTTTCCGCTCCGAGCAACTCAGGTCTGGACTCTGAGGTGGATTAAGGCTTTTTGGGGGCCTGGGCAAGGATGCTGCAGAGCTGATCAGATGAATCCAAGAGCGCTGCCACCCATGGCAGAAAAGGTAGAGCAGGTGATGTGGGTAAGTGCAGTATTTGGTAGGGCACAAACAGCCTGAACAACTGCTGTGACTTTGTACCGCAGTCCTGGCATGGGGCCGTTGTTTAGTGCTAGAGAAAAAACAGCAGGTTATCCCCAAAGTCCCCTGCAGTTGACTTAGCACAGGGGAGCCTTGCCAGCCTCTGTCTGTCCCACCCCAGCACCTGCTTTATACAGCCGGGGATCCTCTCCTGACGTGATTCTCACCCAGGGGTCTTTGGCACCCTGGGGTGCTACACAATGTTAGCATTGTTAGGTGCGTAAACACGATTCACAAGAAAACCTGAGGATTTCAAATAAGAATCCATAGTGCTAAAACTATTCTGCCCGGGTCTGAGTTCTTTGCAACCGAAGAAGTTTGCTATTAGTTTTCTATGGTCAAAAACCAAGTAGAAATGAAGATCTGGCATTTTCCAAGGGGGGCTATGAGTCTAACAAGGTGTGTCCTGAAGGGGTGACCTGATGAGGGGTGCCTGGAGTGCAAAAAGGTGAAGAACCACTGCCCTTGCATGAAGCATAACCCTAGGGTTCCAGTGCTCCCTATTCCCTCACACCCGTCATCTACAAGCTCTCCCAAATGCCTATTAGCTCCCACCCCAACAATGAAAAAACCAACAAAAGCCTCTCACACATTCCCAGCCCCGAGGCCACTGAAGAGACCCTCTGATATTGCCCCCAAGCCCCAGCAGCCACCCTGTGGAGTAAGCAACAACACCAGCACAATGCATTTAAAACTCCTGAATCCAAGTTTTATTACTGTAGAGGAGAAAAGGGATCACTCACAACATCTTGTTCAAAAGAATTACATTCAACAGCATTTACAGTAGAATAACATTAAAATTCTCCAGTGGGGAAATAGAAAGACTAGGAGACAGTGCTCAGATTAAGTGTTGACACTAAATGACCTCTATAAGCTCTAGTAGTTTTTAAAATAAGCTCTCCTAAAAAATTGCTGTTTAGGGGCATGTTCCTAATCCTCCCCGTGTAGTTCTGCTAATCTGTATAGTGTGTCTTTGTGTGAGGTTTCTATACAGATGAGTTTATTGTCGGTAAGTCAGAAAGGACCTCTCACTGTCTCAGAGTCCAGCAAGGTTAAGCATTTAGATGCCAACACTTAATAGATAACATTTCACGTTGCACTTCTCATAGCTGCAAGAGCATTTGGATCCTGTTGTAGTGGCAGCAGATGTAGGAATCTCTTACCTTTGCAAGCTCTTGGATAACTCTTGGTGTGACAAAAGAAAAAGGAAAAATAAGGCATTTTAAAGAGCTATACTTCTAGTCCATTTTATAAAACTGAATCAGGCCTTGAGTGGAAAAAACCCTGTTATTTTTACTGTTTTTATAAATCAAACTAATACTAGCATAAAAGAAGGTCTGGAACAGAGAATCTTCTGTTGTCCCACAGTTACATAAAAGTGTGCCTCAAAAGGAGCACATCCAAATGCCTCAGTGATGGAATATGCAATAGACTGCCCAGCAGACTAGATCCAATTGGCTGAATGTGATCAACGCAGCAGTTCAGAAAACTTACTTTACTGGGCCACAGACAAGCCACAAAGCCAGTGCACTTGGACCTGTTGACTGTGATCATCATATTGCCGGACTTTTCATAATTTTGAATATTTAACTTTTTAATCAGCTGGCTTACTGAGAGCTTTCTTTCAGGAGCCCAAACTGTTTTGCTTTCTAGAACACAATGACCTTTCTAATTAAACACCTTTTGAACATGAAAGCATCCAGCTTGGGAGCAAAATGTTACTTCTCTATGTAAGCAATTATGCAATTACATTAACTCTTATTTCCCTGCCTTTAGAACAAACCTAATGAACTATACCATACTTCTACTACAAAAACTCAGACAGACACATCTGTCATCATTATTTTTCATCTATTATGTACCATATAAATTTAAGCAAAATAATTTTATATATATTTATATATATTTATATATATATAAATTAGAAGCAAATAAATAAGATTAAAGGGTACACTGAAATCAGTTGTGTTGCCACACTGATAGCCAATCACTAATGTTACATTGTACAAGTTTTATATATATTGTATACATACATATGTTGTCAGTGACAGATAATGTGGGTGCTGAATGTGGGGGGGGGGTGGCGGCAAACTAGGAGAAGACTGATGGTTTCAGGAACCTGATTGCATAAGTGTCCCTTGTGCAGCCTGGGTTTTCCAGTTACCAATGCCTTGAAGTTCATTATTGCTTATTTTCTTCCCATGCAGATGTGACAGCCTTAGCTGTGTGGCTCTTGACCCACGGGAATGCAGTAGTCACTGTGATATGACATAGAACCAGAGAAGACATCAGAGATTAAATCAAGCAAGGCAGAACCCTGTTTTCAGGTCTTCCTTGGACTTACAGGCAGATCCTCTCAGACCCAAAATGCTCTGTAAGGCCCATCAGCTTATAGTTCCTGACTCTCCTCTCCAGTTGCTGGTAAACAACCCATGCAGAAACAGCTCTGCTAAGGCATCCTGCATTTCAGTTATTGGAGAAGCCTACATGGAAGGTTTATGGCTGAATGATTCACCTGCTCCTGTTGCTCATTCCTCACCTGCAAGCCTTGTTCATCCTTGGGCATGTCTACACATACATTAATGTGCTGTGCTTATTGCACATTAAGTTTAGTACTTGTAATAACAGGTACTAACTCAGTGTGCAGTAACCAGAGCTACTACACAGTAGCACCAGCACACAGTCTTTTAGCGACACTAATGCGCAGTAGACTAATACTAATGCATGTTAGCAAATTAACACAGCTTTTGCCGTAATGCGCAGTAGCATCAGTCTACTGCGCATGTAGCATCTCGTGTAGACACGCCCCTTCTGTGACATCTCTGGAGCTTTCAATGCCACAGCAAGGTGACTACTTGAGTGGGGAATGAGCAGCAGTAGATGGAGCCCTCATGCTGTGTTCACACTCAGGGAAAGGAAGGGGACAAAAAGCAGGAGACCTAGGAGATGAACTATTTCAGGACGTACCATGGTCTGTCTCTGCTGGTAATTCCATTGGCTTCAACCAACTAATGATGGATGAGTTAAACCCAGGAAATTTGGCCTTCTTGCTTTAAATCTGCCTTGAGGGCTCAGCAGATGATTAAGAACATTCCCAATAATAATGGATTCCCCCAAAAAGGTTTTACTTCACTGTTCTTGTATCACAATGGGGAGCAGGCCAGTATGCAGGGTAGGGAGTGAGCCAGTACATAAAGCCAAACCTGGGTTCTGGGGCTCTCATGCTAACCTGGGAAGCAATACTTTGGTCTTTGACTGAAAGTCCACTTGGGAGGGAATTTAGATAATAGACATGTCACAACAAGGTGGCAGAAAAGTCAGAGGTTGGATTTCCCTGTTTGTTCCTCAGCAGGGACTTTTTAAGACATCATCCTCCCAACATCCTCCCATGTTCCCCTTGGCTGAAAAGGGCAGGATTTGTGCTTTTGGGAAGGAAGCAGGAACAGATTCTGCTCAGAGGCTCCCTAAGTCTTCCTCTGGGAAGCATGATGGTACTTAGCTGCTCATCTCATTCTTGCTGGAGGATGGAAAGGTGCGATCTGTTTCCACAGCTACTAGGCAAGAAAGCAGGCACCTCTCTCATTGGCCTGAAAGTGACTTTAATGCAGTTTCATGCTTAATACGGCTAGACTTGTATTTGGATTTTAAATCTCTCCAAGGTATTGGAGTGGGTGCTCAGAATCACTTTGGACTGGCCCCTCATGAGCAAAGGGGTGAGAGGCACCTCTGGAATCTTGGCCCTTCCCTGCCATGTCCGCAGATCTTGGATCAGGCCCATCTTTGCTTATACATGGAAGGATATGAATGGGAACCAGGATGCAGGAGGTGCAGCCATCCCAATACAGATCAACTGGAAGATATAAACTCTGTAAAATAATAAATAGATAGTACTAGAGCTGGGCTGAGGCAGAGAAAGGAATGACAAGGAGATAGTAGCAGCATAGGATGGGAAGGAAGTCTTAAGATAATGGGCACAGGGAAAAAGAAGGGATAGGGGAGCCATCTCCTTGTGAAAGCACATCTAATTACACCTTCATGCTAACCTGGTTCCCATAGTGGGCTCTTTCTCAACCAGGCTGCTTTATCAGCATCTCTGTATTCCACCCCTTCTATTCATGCTTTACAAAGGAACCAGCACTCCAGTACATTTTGGGGACCAGCCATGCAATAGCAACCATTTTCACCTTCCCTTGTGCCTTGTGTCAGGAGACAGCTCAGCACCTAATCCCTGCCCAGTAGTATCTCTATGAGGTATGGACAGTCAGAACATCAGTTGCTACTGCAAAGATACGAAGGGGAAGATAACTCGATATGCTGAGTCAGGAGTTGGCTACAGATTGCTACAAGCACTGGTGGTACCCGTTAGTCTACAAACTGCTGATAAGGGTCTTTGCTCTAGTTCACAAGTTCTCACTCTAGTTTTCGTGTAAAAGTTTCCCTAGTTAGATTGCCTGCTTCCTGATCTCTAAAAGGAACTGTTTCTCATTAGGACATAGTTTCAGGAAGAAAAAAAAAAACAACACTCAAAAAAGCATCTTGTTAGAGATTGTTCTAAAAATAGTGACTAAATATTGCAGATTGAAAGAAATCTGTTCAAATGCTTCTATAAAAAAGAAAAGTCATCTAAAGAGCTTCACGGAAATATCTTAATTCATATGGAGGCAACATCGGGCACTGTCGGGAGCTACTGAGAGAACTGAGGAGTAAGCACCTAACCTACAGTTCCTATAAAATAATCTTTTCCCTAGAGCTTCTGAAGTGAATGAGATCAGCAAGTCGCTTGTGTAGTTAAAAATGAACCTGAACTTGAAGTAGATTTTTTTCTTTTTTTCAATTAAGTCCACAAACAAATGAAAAAAAAATAAAAAAAAGAAGAGTTCAAATGAATGTACATCATTTCCCCAAAATGTGTGCATCTTTGGAAGTCAGCATCTCCGTCAATAAAGCTGAGGCTTCAAAAAATATAGGCAGCAACTCCTGACAGCAATAAATATGCTAGGCTAAAATTAACTAACTTGTCCTTGTTCCTAATTAGTAGCTAAAAAAAAGCCACCATTAAAAAAAAATTGAATGCTATTTTATTAGTGCATAAAAAATAGTTTGGAATCCCTGTTTTGATTTTTTTTTTTAATTTCTGTATTCATTTTCCGCATGTGTGTTTCCGTGCACTGTTATGTCAACCATGGGATGCTGCCGGATGCATCCCATTCACAAATCCTCTTATCTTGTAGATGGGAGAGGTCCCCTGGGGATCTGCTGTCCCACTGTGGGAGGAGCGGCTCAGAAGATATCAGGGCACATACTCCAGTCCTGTTTTTCCTTGGCTTCCCAGTATCCACCTTTGTAAATACAGATCAGCTCCCCTGTTAAGGGATCCACTTTCCTTTCGAACCACAGTGGGATGTAGCCTTCATAGTCTTTGCCTGTACAAAGTGGAAAACACAAGTGTTAGTTTTGTTAGGGAAGCATCAGGTCCATTGGTATCCTTACTATGGTATTTAATAGGCTCTGCCCAGATACACAGGGGTCTGAATTCACCCAGATCACCACATATGAATTGCCTTCTGCTATTAAAACTACTGGAGCTTACACAAAGTCCTAACCTACCATGTGCATCCATGAGCCCAAACCTCCTACTGGGTGCTGGTAAATTCCTAAGGATTTTTGCTGAAGCATTAGAGCTGTAAGGCTTAGAGGCTGTGCACAAAGGTCAGCTCTGAGCAGGTTCAGGAGTGGAGATGAACATACAGCACAATTTAAGTCAAGGCTTCTTTGCCACATCTTTCCTTATAAAGCAATTCTCACCCTGGATTCTCAAGGCACTTTGCAAAGGGTGAGGAGGCTGAGTAGCATTACCTATGTTTTACAGATGGGGAACCTGGCACAAAGAGAGGAAGGGACTGGACCATGAGCACACAGCAAGTCTAGAACACAACTTAGTTCCCTGAGCTCAGGCATCAGCTGAATCCACTGGGTCTACTCAAAGGTACCTAGAGATGGGAAAGAAGCAGCAGATAACCCAGCCAACTCCCAGATAATCCAGGACTGGGTTTGTGCTTTTCATGCAGATTCAGGGATTGTCATTCTGGAACATGTAATACACTACATTTATTTGCTGCATCCCTTTGGCCATAGCTCCAAGAGCCTGCCCCAGATTACCCATTAACCATTGTTAAGACAGTCAAACTCACCTTCCTCCAATGCCTCCACAGCTTCTGCTTCCCGCCTGCGACGTACTGCCCTTTGCTTTTCTTCTAGCCTCTGCTTCTCTACATTGGCTTCATCCCACTTGCCATTCTCCATGAGCCGCTGGTCAGGTCTCAGCCTGCTGTCTGTGGGGGCCACCCTCTCCTCAGGCTCATTCAGTGTCAGGGCCAGATCAGAGAAAAAATACATGTTCTCTGCATTTTCTCTAGAGGAGAAGGGTCCAAATCAGTTTAAAAGGGTGAATACTTGTACCCATCCAGTCATAAAGGATCATCCATCCATCCATCCACATGCTCATATGGTCCCTCTCCCTATGGTCTCAAAGCATCTCCTACCATGTTTGACACCACAAACCTAGAATCATAAAATATAGGTAATTCCAGGTAGCAACACTTTTCTTTTGGGGAGCCTTTCCTCCCATCGTCCCAGGGGGAATGGCAGGCAGGATCCCTACACAATGCAAAAGACAGCACTAAGAATACTATTCCAGCTGCTATGAGCCACCATAAGCCCTAGTGGAAATGGCGCATGAGTGAAGGATGTGTCTTCCTCTTCCAAGCAATTAGCAGCAACCCACAGAGAAGTAGTGAAATGTGCCTTTTAGAATTGCTGCCTGCCATATGCCTCTGTTCCTCAGGAATCACTTCACCCATTACTGAAATACAGCCATCTCAGAGATGCAGGGCAACAGCTACTAAACAATACCACAACAGCCTAAGTCTGGAGAGGACTTACGGGAGAGGGTATTTTTTCCAAAGGACCTTTGGAGTCAGTGTCTGATAGACAGTTTTTTGCTTGCCCTCTGAGCTGGTGTTGCCATGGCTGCTCTGCACTATCTTGGAGTACTCCATCTTTTCATCCCATGTCCCTGACATGACATAATGTGCCTTTCCATCAGCATCTGTCACCACACCTGTCACCTGAAGAGGAAGTAAAAAAAGGGAATGAGTTGGCAATAGCAGAGTCTGAAAATCCCTAGAGAGCAAAGAGATGGGTGGCATATACAATAACTCCAAGCTGTCTATTGGAAGCAACAGGGCCTACTGGTTTTGAATGATGGGCTGAGGCCTAATTGCACCAGGCAGAGGTAAAAGACAGCTAGGGCTCATCCCAAAGCCAAACTCTCCATTCTGGTATGTAGCCTCAACTTACCCTTCCTGGATCTCAAATATACTCATTTTGTTACTATTACAGTTTTACCTTAAGACTCTAGAAGAGCAGAGGATGGATGTTGAAGACACCTGGAACTTGTTTTGCACACCTGGGGGGGAAGGTAAATTCAGAGCAGTTTGCTTTATCTTACCTTATGAACACTAGGTTAGAGGCACATATAAAAACGTTGCCTGCCATGCTGCCTAGGTCAGCCAAAGAGTTGATCAGTACAAGGTACCAATATGGTTTCAAGTGAATGATCCTCAACTGCACTTCAGGATGCTATATTCTTGCTGCCTGACCATGGTCAACTCACTGGCTCATCCTGGCACAGCCCAGAGTGACAAATCAAGATCTCTCCCATGCATAAGGCTGCTTTAGTGAGTTGGTTCTTTTTCAGATACATACCTTCCGTGGGATGTCTCTGGAGAAGTAGCTGTAGGGTGTGAATTTCAGCTGGCATTTATCTTTTGACTTATGGTTAATAATCTCTATTTCACCTGACTAGATAAAAAGACACGCAGTTAGAAGATGTGAGACTGACAATGGAACAAAGCAAATGTTAGTTTAAGTTTGTTTATGTATAAGTTATCATCAGCATCTTTGCTTCCCATATCCAGCACTTTAACTTGGTCCCAATGACCATGACACCTTTCCAATCAAGTTCCAAGGCTTGGAGTAGCTTCAAGCTAACATACAAGACCTGATCCATTATGGAAGAGTTCATCAGCTGGGGCAGCACAGGTGATTGATTAAGAGCATTACTGTCAGTGAAAAGAGCTACCAGTACATGTTTGTTCTACCACCCTGACCCCATACATGGTACTGGTATCTGAAACAGACATAAGAAGCTCCAAGGTGGAACTGTTCTGAGAGGGCTTCACCTAGGTGCTTGCTATGGGTGGTCTCTGCCAGAGGAATACATTTTCCTGAGGGCTGGGTATCTGGGGAGGGGAGGAAGAGTGGGACATACTGGGTGCATCTACACAAGACACGAAATGCGCAGTGGATGGATTGTACTGCACATTAGCACACCAGGAAAAACTGCTAACGTGCTAATGTGCAATAGAATTCATCTACTGTGCATTACTGTCACAAAAAGTGTGCCAGCGCTACTGCGCAGTAGCGCCAATTATGCTGCACTGTTAGTACCTGTTATTACAGGTACTAATCTTAATGGGTCGTAATTACAGTGCATTAATGCACATGTAGTCATGCCCACTGTGATGAGAAAGTCTTGACACCGAGCCCTTCAGATCATTTCATTGCCCTCTGCCTTGCCACCCTTCCCCTTTTTCTTGGAGCATTACAGCATAATAATCCAGGGCTAATCATGGTTACAGCGATAAGGGATCTGCCTCCTGGTTCTCTTGTAGAGGGCCACTGACCTGATCGATCCAGAGCTTGCCCACAATGATGTTGTGAACAGTAGAGGTGACCTTCCTCCAGACATAGTGGTTCCCACTAGAGTGGAACTCTAAGTGAATGGCGCCTGTGGAGAGACAGGGAGAGAGCCTTTCACTTCTGGCCAAAGAACAAAAGACAGGAGGGGCCTCTTGGAGGCACCTATACACAAGAGGCCAGATCAGATATTGCACCGAGCAGTGCACCTATAAAGATTTTTTTGGCCAATACCAATGGCCGATATTAACCAGCCATATTGGCCACTACCAATCTGACTGCCAACATGCAGGCTAGCAGCTTGGAGAGCAGTGTCCGGCCAGTAAGTCTGTGGGGGGGAAGAGACATGGCGGAGAGAAAGGGCATGATGGGGGTGCAGATTGAGGCCCCCACAGTGAAGGAGGGAGTGGTACAGGGGTAGATGCTGCCCAGCTGGAGCAGGGCAGGGTGGGGTGCAAGATGGAGCCACAGTGGCTTGTCTGGGGGGCAGCAGCGGTTGTTCCCACTGCACCCTGGGGGAGGCATGGGTGGTACGTGCCACCCAGATCTGTGCACAGGGTGAGACCAGGTTGCCTGCTGCATGCTTGGGGCTGGGGGCTGTGCCAACCTCTTCTTGGAGGAGGAGCTAGGTTGGGGCTGTGCTAGGTTGGGGCTGCACTAGGTTGGTGGTGGTAGCACTAGGAGGGAGCACTACAGGGTGGGCTACAGCCACCCCAAAATTTGTCATAGCCACCCTGTAGCCCCACCTCCCAACACCACTGCCACTGGCCCCAAGAGCAGCCCCAGCCCACGCCCCTGCCAAGAAAAGGCCAGTGCAGCACCCAACCCCAAGCATGCAGCGGCAGCTCACCCTTGCCCCATGCACAAATTCAGGCGGCAAATGCCTGCACACAGCAGCAGGAGCTGCCCCCACTCCCAAGCCCCCTGTGCTTCCCGGACAAGGCACCCATGGCTCCATCCCGTGCCCTGCCCCACCCTGGCTTGGCAGTGCCTGCCCCTGCCCCAGCCCCAGCCCCACTCCCTCCCTCACTGTGGGGGCCTCAATCTGCCCCCTGCCACACTCCATGGGGCCCCTTGCCCCTGAAAGAAATGGTAGATGAGTCTCAAAACTGCTTTGCAGATTTCTGACAAGGGGCAATTGCACACGCATGTGTGTGTGAGGACACATGTGTGTGCACTATCATGCCTCCTGGCTACAGCCTAGTGGAAAGCAGGTAAAATACCCGTGGAGGGACTGGAAGGGACACCAAGCTCATGTACTGCTATGGGCACACACAGCACTATTTGGGAGTCTCTGTGCCAGCACTTTACACACATGTAACAATCCTCCCCTCCCTCTTGCGGTTGGTATTATCCCCATTTTACAAATGGAGAAACAGTATGATGTGAGGGAAGGAGTTCAGGAGCACTCTTGTAACTCAGCAGCAGCAGTTCAGCAAATTTATTTAGGCTGGAATTCCATTTTACCTCACGTCCAAATACCTGTAAGTGCACATACACAGCAAGCTATGTTCTCCCCAGGCATCCAGGTGGCTCCACATGCATGTACCTGGGAAACCCAAACCTGAACTTGTAGCCAGGCAAAACCTCACGAGTAAGGAGGGCAGCCCTCCCATGCTTTAATCCAGGAGTATCAAACATATAGCCTACAGGTTAGATGTGATACATGGAGCTGTGTCTGGACCATGGGACTCATACAGGGGCCAGGAATTTGGGAGTGGGGTGAGCAGGGCCAGAGCTCATATGAATCTGAGGTACAGAGCCCTGTTGGGGACATGTCAGCAACAGTGGGATGAGTGACAGCTGCACTAACCCCCACTGCTACTGCCAGTGCTTGCCCCACCATTACCACCACATCCAGATCTGGCCCACAAGAAGCCTCACAGTCCAGATCTGGGCCAGGGGACCAGTTGAGTTTGATGCCTTTGATTCAGCCCAATAATAGTCTACTGGTTAGGTCATTTGCCCAAGAACTGAGACACCCAGCCTCTAGGCTTCCTCACCCAGAGCATTTGCACAGCCATGTAAATGCCGGTTTTGGCACTTATTCACAGTTTGTTTTCCTATCCCACATGCACCATAGATGTGCAAGTGTATGCATTGCTACTGAGTATGCACAGTGTCCTGTGGTCAGGCAGTGTTGTGTGGTCAGGCAGGTCAGGCAGTTACACAGCTTTGATTTCACTTACCTGAACATAAGTACCAAAATTGTAAATGGGCAAAACCCCATGAAGAGCAGGTATTGGATGGAGAAAGAACCTCCCATGTGTTAGCCCATTAGCCTAGTAGCTAAAGCAGTCACCTACAAAGTAGGAGACCCAAGTTCTATTTCCCCCTTATCCAGGGAGGGTTTGAACCTACATATCTCTATCTTCCCAGCACAGTGCTCTAACCAGCAAGCTATAGGTACACATTATCTAGGTCAGGGGTTTTCAACCTTTTTTGGTTGGTGTACCCCAGGTGGCCGGTGGAGAAACAGAATCCTCCAGCAGCTGGTGGATGAGTGGGGGGTAGAGAGGGGGTCCCCAGCAGCCAATCAATGAGTGGGGGGTGGGGAGGGGATCCTTAGCAGCCAATCAATGAGCGGGGGGGTGGGGCTGTGCAGCACGCAGCAGTAAAACCGGAAGTGCCAGCAGCACATAGCAGGAATAGTATCAGCGGCACATGGCGCCACAAGAGACGCAAAGTGCTGATAGCCCTGCTCCCTGTTTCTCCGTGCCGCTGTCGTGTACCCCCTGGGGCCTTCCCAAGTACTCCCAGGGGTACTCATAGCCCCGGTTGACAAACCCTGATCTAGGTCCCTCTGGAGCACTCTTGAAACTGTGCGACTCCCTTTTCATTTACTATTCATTGACTAATATTGATAGATTGCAGTAGGAAAGCTTCTGCTCCTTGATAGCATGGGTCTGCGCTATAACCTTAGGTGCCCCTTCCTTCCAGGGTGACAGCCAACTCACTGAGCTGCACATCCGCTAACTTGCTCCCTTTCTCCTGGCTGCACATATCTTTCTTTCTTGGCTTGCCAAGGGGCCTAAAGAGGAAACTGGCTCATGCCTAACCTGTGGACTGAGTACTGCACTGGGAAATCAGCAACACACCAGTTGGTTCCCTTCCTGCCCAGCCTCCTCTCGCTGGAGGTTTTCAAAATCCATTCTTCACCAGGAGTGTGTTACATAGCAAGTAGCTCCATTTAGCCTTGTGGTTCAATCCCTTGATAGGGTTTTACACGACCCCCGTTGGATCACCGCACTGGCCAATCATCAGGAGAAACTTTCAAGCAAAGTGAACACACACACCTCTCTTAATACTCATCAGAGAAAATCATTTACCTAGTGGCATGATAGAGAGGTATTTGCCCCTGAACTTGCTGGCAATTGTGATTTCCTGCCACAATGTCCAACCCCTCTTGGAAAACACATGATGGGCTGCTGCAGGTGGGTGATGACTCACCTACGAGAGACAGGAGAAAAAAACCCGTAAGGTAGCACACTAGGGAAAAGGAAGCAATGTTACACAGCACCATGTGAGAAGAGGAGAAGGGTACACAGGACAATAAGTTAATTCAGTGGTGTTTAGAAGGTCCCCTAGACAAGATTATGCAAAGAACACAAAAGGACAATCTGAGGTTGGCTTTGGAAAACAAAATTACTTACCAGTAACTGACTTTTTAAAGATGCTGTTCTACATGTACATTTACATCAGCCCCTGCTCCTGATGGAGTAGAAACTATCCTAGTGTTTACCCAAAGAATATTAACTGCATTAGGGGCAGAGGTCAGAACACAGCGTCCCTTCCTTCCATGGCAGCATTCATCTCACTGAGCCACCCTCCCTCTGGTTTGCTTGCTTTCTCCTGACCCTGTATATCTTTCAATTATGGCTATCCATTGGCCATTTTCAAGAGGATGGGTGGAGAGGGCTCTGGTTAACGTCTAGCAGCCCATAGCTAGGTGGTTTGAGCAGTTTTTTTTGGAAATGGGGGTATCCCATTAGTGCGCAGCAGTAAACTGAGAAGCTTATTGCTGCACAGTTAGTCTAGTCCCTGTATTTACAGGGACTAGCTAACTGGGCAGTAGCCTAATTTACTGTTCAGTAAATGCCCTGCAAGTGTAGATGGTGATGTTTTACTATACAGTAGATTAGTCTACTGTGCAGTAAAGCATCTTGTGTAGATGTGCCCAATGTGGAGAAAGTAAATAGGGACTTTACTATTTACCATCTCTCACAAGACTAGAACACAGTGACACACAATGAAATTATTGGGGAACAGGTTTGAAACAAATAAAAGACAAGCCTTTTTCATACAGTATGCTGTTAACCTGTGGAACTCACTATCACAGGATGTTGTAGTAGCTGAAACCTTAGCTAGGTTCAAAAGATTAGACAAATTCATGCCAGGTGGGTCCACTGGTGAGTATTCAACATAATACAGCAGCAACCTACACATTAGGACTTCCTAAGCCTTTACATACTTACATACTGTGATGATGAGAAAAAAGGTGGTTTTTTGGGCCCACTCCTGATAGATGATTTGCCTCTGGATTGGGGCTGGTAAATAGGTCTTGCTTTAGTCAGTCTTAAGGAGGCTGCTTAACAGTCTTGATGCTGGGCATGTATGGAGCTGTTCTGAGGTTTTCAACCTTGTCTGAGGTGGAACTGAAGGACCACTGAAGCTGTTTCTCTCTGTCTGTTCTTGTCCTCTGCTTGAATGACTTACTGCTGTTGGGGCTATGGATCCCACTCCACCCCAGGCAAAACAAGCATCTTATTTGGCCATTTGAAACAAGAATTCAGTCACTGCAAGAAAGACATGGTGCAGACTCCGGAGATCAAGTAAGTCGCGGATAAGGTTATTTTCCAAATGGCATATCCCCTCTCTATACCATCAAAGATTGGGATGATTCAACCATGATAAGAAGGGAGAATACAGGCAGCCCAGCATCCTTGATGGCATTAATGTCTTGTGGCATTAATTAATTTGTAGGAGAGAGCTGTTGATGGCTGGGGCCAAGTCAAAGCCCCAGGATAAGGGAAATGAAAGGGAACAAAACAACTCTCAGCACTTTTTCTGATTTAGCAAACATGGTTTCTGAGAGGGAGCTGTTTAAAAGCAAGACCTTTTGATTGTTTCTGAAGCTCAAAAGCTACCAGAAAGGATCCCTCTGAAAGATGCCCCTGTCTCTAGCTAGTAGCTTGAGAGGAAGTAAAGAGCAAGAAATGGGGGCATGAGGAGTGGTGGGGTAAGAGAGCACTCTTAAGGATGCCCCTAAAGGATGAGTACCTACAGCCTATGGGCTGGATCTGGCCCACACAGAGGCCTTGGCAGTGGGGGGCTTTGCCCATACTGTGCCATGACATGGTCAGGCAGCCAGATAGCCAAGTGACTGGGCAGCACAGAGAACTGGAGGTGGCAGCCAGGTGTAAGCCCACCTTGAGCCCAAGCTGGATCACTCCAACCTACCACTAGAAAACATTACCTACATTACACTAAGGCAAAACAGTCTCTGGTCTAAGCACAGGGCATGAGATGCTCCCAAAAGTAAGAATGTGTATTTCGACAATTAATTGATGGAGAATAGAGATGTCACGTATTCCAGCTTCCTAAAGAATGTGACATGACATCCTGAAAGAAAGTGTTCTCTGTTCCCAGGCAAAGGGTAGGATGGAACTTGTCCTGTTATCATCCATATCACGTGACAAGCATCTACAATATCCAGGGACACTTTTCTCACACAGCATTTTACTACTCTGGTTTTAAGTCTGACATTCAGTTTCCCAAACGTACATAGCAATTTGAAATAGGACAGCTCTGCAGCATTTGAGGCTCCCCTCTTGTCACTGTATATATATGACCCCCCACTTCCCTAGCATTCATCTGGACTTTCCCCTCCTTGGGTTGCATATGTCACCAGCACACTCTAAGCAAAAATCCTATGGATGGATAATTAAAAACACTTGCACTTTCTGTTTAGAGATCCTTCAATGCAGGCAGCACAGCAGTAGTGATATTTACAGAATGATCACAGGAGGTGAGTCTTATTTCTTAGCAGCCTACTAGGGAGTAGGATAGCAAACGTACTAATAAAGGGTATCAGAGTGAGTGCTGAAGATTAACATTCAGCCATATAGAGCTCCTTCCCTGGGTTAAACAAATGTAATGAGACACTGGCTGCTTATTTTCTGTGCCCAAAACATTTGTATGCTCTGATCTTTATGATTAATAAATATGACAGCAACAGGTACTGGAGCAAGGAGCAGGTTTCCCTCCAAGAGGCAGGAGCCGTTTTGGTTGCAAGTGGTTCATCTACCCTGGCATCTCAACATGCAAGCACATTAACACTATTAGCAGTGGAGAGATTTTGCCAAAGCTCATTAGAAAACTTTGGTAGCTATAGGAGACAGCTACCAGCTTTCTAAGACAGAGATCCAGAGCCAGTACCAAGTCTGGAGAAAGTCTTCCATGGTTCATAAGGCACAGACCTGTATGGCTGGAACAGAACTCCGGTTCCCCACAGGCTGGTGTTTTACCTAGTAACCAGTCTCTCTTGTGCACAGTACATGGATTCATTGCTATGGACCAGCCCTGCTCCACGTAGCTTGTAGTTAATAATCGTCCTTGTGCTTCTCCTTCTCTTCACTCGACAAAACTGAGAATGACAGTCTTCTCGGGCTCAGTACAATGTCACTGCCCTTCCCTTTGTGCATACACTGAGGTCCGTGTCTGAGAGCCATCTGCTCAGTGGCTGCTAAGCAGATGGCAGCTGGCTAGCTGTGTGGCACTCTGGAATAACACACAGAGGTGAAAGCACTTTGTGTACCTGATACCTCCCAACCCTTCTTGAACAGGCAGTTGAAGGTACATGGGGAAGATCTGCAGGGGCCATTGCAAGTTTCTAATTACTAACTGCTGTCAGACTACTACTGAAAAGTGGCAACTGGAATGTACTGAGTATGATCGTAAACTGCATCCAACTGGTGGCAATGTGGTGGAGCTACTCATGGTCGGGTAGCTCCTATAAAATGCCATAATGTTACAAACCTACCTCCCACTGCCTTGTGGGTATTCCTTGGCTGGAGTAAAGCTAAGCAACACCACCATGACAGAAACTTGCCCTTGCTGAGGCTTTAGGCAGTCAGCAGCAGCTCTAATCTGCTGCTGTCAGGCAGAAGCTACAATCATCAAGACATTGAATGTCTAATCTCGGTCTGGCTTTTGGCCTCTGTCTCAATGGTATAAAGGGGAGATGGTAGGTCTAGGGCAGCCACCACTCTTCCACACTCTTGCCTAGGGATATGCATTGAAGGTCTTGGTGTGATGGTTGCAGGACTTCATCAGGGGCATAAGGAACCTGAGGCAGCTATCAAGGCATCCAAGCAGCCCTATTCAGGGGTAGCTTGCTTGCCTCTTTTGAAGAAGACCCTAGAAAAGGTGGGCCAAAAAAGCCATGCCCCAACTCAGTCTATCCTGGCCAAAAGAAAATAAAGTGATTTGCATATTGGACTGTTCAGACTCTCACCCCCAGATTCGATTCGGACTTTGATTTACGGAAAACAGCACTACTAAACTACAAACTGGTTAGACTCTGAATTGACATTGCTATATTATCAGAAACTTGGCTCTCAGATACAGGTTGTAGTCAAAAGAATGATTACACCATATTCTGGCATGGGAAGCCAGCAGGAGAGAGGAGAAAATGGAGTAGGCTTTGTTATTAGAAACAGCTTTCTTGTGAAAGCCCCATTGCTGTATCTATTCAACTCATGATGCTCAGAATGCACACCCAGAATATCTTCATCAAGTCATTTAGTATCTACTTGCCTGCCCTTCGAGCCAACGATGACGACAAAAACATTTTCTACCAACAACTGGAAGAAGAGATTGAGAAAATGCAGAGAAAATAGACCATTATGATACTTGGCGACTTCAATGCAAGGGCTGGATGTAGTTTTGAGAGCTGGCCTCATATTCTGGGCAAATGCAGAATTGGTAACATGAATGAAAATAGCCAGGAAGTATTAGAACTATGTGCAAGTCAAAATCGATGTGTTACCAACATGTACTTCACTGGTAAAATCACAAGAAAGACTTTGTGGAAACATGCAAGATCAGGGCACTGACACCAATTAGACCTAGTACTGACCAGGCACAACCACCTGAAAGAACTCCTGTGCACAAAGTCTTATCACAGTGCTTACTGTAATATTGACCATGCCTTAGTCTGCTGCAAAATTAGAATCAATAGCAAAAAGATCCACTGTAGCAAAACCACTAGTCATCCTCCTCCTCAGATTGACATCAGCCAAACTAGAGATGTATAGAGATGCTGACTATTCAACAAAGTTGCAAAAGCAAGTTTACCTAACAACTCAGCAACTGACGCTTGGGAAAGCTTAAAAACTAATATATACAATACTGCTGTAACAGTGTTTGGCAAAAAATGCAAGAAAAATGCAGATTGGCTTGAAGGGCACTCTGAAACCCTTCTACCACTGGCTGAGAACAAAAAGCCAGCACTAACCATCTACAAGAAATCTCCCAACACAAAAACCCTTGAAAATTTGAGAAAGGCTTGAACAGAAATGCAGAAGAATCCTATGAGGCATGCTCAGGGTTTTTGGCTGAAACACTGTGATGATATTCAGACGTCAGCCACAAGCAGATTCATCATCAGGCACCTGACTAGACCTCTTACGCATACACCAAGATCCAGAGGCTCAATGGATGCCTATACTGCTGAGAAGTGATAACTGGGATGTACCTTAAAACTGGGGGTGTACCGATAGAAATTTCTGGGGCTGATACCAATGGCCGTTATTTAAGGAGGCATATCGGCAGATACCGATCCAACTTCCAATACAGCTGCCTCCAACTGTTAAGTCCGGTGTGGTGGAAGGGAAGGACGGAGGGAAGGGGTGTAGGGGGCGGGGCAGATCAACACTCCCCTGTGGTGAGGGAGGGGGCACGCTCTGCCCAAGCAGGGTGGAGGGGACAGAGCCATGGCTCATAGGGGGGAAGGTGGCTCCTGCCTCTGCTTGTACCCCAGGAGGGCATGGGGGGGCATATGCCCCCCAGATCTGCGCAGGGCAGGGTGGGGTGCAGCAGGGGCTGTGTGGGGCTCTTCTCGACAGGGGCTGGACTTGGACCATGCATCATCCACCCCAAATTTTGCTGGGAGGATGCTGCATCCACCCGATTTCGCCACTGCTCCACTTCCAGCACTGCTGCCGCCAGCTGCCTGGTGCAGCTCTGGCTCAACAGCCTGCCTCCACCCACATGCCGGGCATCTGGCGACGGCAGTGGTGCTGGGAGCAGAGTGGCAGCAAACTTTGGGGTGGATGCAGCATCCTTCCAGTGCCACTGGCACCCACTCTGAGCCCAGCCTCCATTGAGAAGAGCCCCACCCCCCCGGCCTAAGCCCACCCTGCCCATGCAGACCGGGGTGGGGCACACACCCCAACGTGACCTCCCAGGGTGCAAGCAGCAATGGGAGCCGCCTCCCTCCACCATGAGGCATGGCTCCAGCTCCCCCCCTACCCCACCTGGGCAGCACCTGCCCCTGCCCCTGCCCCCACATAGCACTGTCTGCAATCCCTTGGCAGCGCAGTTCAGTTATACTTGGCCCCGGCAGTCCCCGTAGACTCAGATGAACCTTGTCATGCACAATTCATCTCCGTCTGTGCTTTAAGTGGGGCAGTTTCCCCCACGCTATTCACAGGCTCGCCAGCACCACTCCTTCAAACAGCGAAGGTGTTTCCCAAAGCTGCCCAGGCAGGGCTGAGGTGGCCTTTGCATAGGTTCCTGGCTAGAGGGTCTTGCCCCTCTGCTCAAGGTCAGGCTGATCCCCAAATTTAGGGCCAGGAACGAATTGTTTCATAGCAGCAGGCCGCTGGCTGCCACGGTTCCCCTGGTTTCTCTGCGGTAGGTTCGGGTGAGGCCTGTGTTGTGTGGATTTGTGGGGGGTGGGTTGGCAGAAGGCTGATCTTGCCTCAGGCAGAA